CAACATACATTTTCGGATCAACAAAGTGCTCGCGTGAAGTCGCGTCTGATCAACATTTACCGTGAAGAGATCTCTCTATATATATATATATATATATATATATATATATATATATATGTATATATATATATATATATCTGTATAAAAATAAATAAATTCTACACTATTATTTCGTTTTCTATAGGTAGAAAAGTAATACTCAATTTAATAAACTATCTGAAATTAACTTTTTAATATATTATACAGTAAATATTAAGAGTAAGCAGTATCTAAATAAAATGTAATATTTTACCACTAACATTCTAATGCAAATGTGCCCTGCGTAAAGTGGCAAACTGCAACTAACCTAAATGTCCCATTATTGTATTTAAATGTATTACTTATTTACTAACTACATCTTAAAAATACACAAATAAATAAAATCCCAACCAGATGGAAGCCATCCGCAGGAGAGAGCAAACGCTCGAGGGTTTGGGGGAAAGGGAAAAACCAACGGATGATACACGCGGTAGTGAGGAGCCCCTAAAATATTCTTGACTATGCCCGGTCCATGAGCACAATATCAGACTTATTCGCAATAATGTCCTATATGTGATGATAGCCCGGTCCCAGTAGAGCCTGGTGCGGGCATTTTCGAGAACGGGTTTCGGTAAGTACTTATAATATAGGAGTTTCTAGTGCACGACGCCGTATTTCAGAGCGAGCTCCTATGTACATAAAGTGTTCAACTTAAATACTTGTTTAAAGATGAAAACGCGAAACCATTAATGAACATATAAAAATTATTACGAACTTATAAATAGAATTTAAGACAGCACGCTCCGACAGGAATAAGACAAACACGCACAGTGCCTGCAGTCTCGACATAGATAACAACGCAATTGCTAACTGCCGATTGTTAAATAATAACGTAAAAAAATGTTTGCCGTAACGATGCTTACGATAAATGCAAGTCTCGACAGCCGAGATACCGAACAAAATTCTGACATATCTTCACTTTATGATGTTGTTACGCTAACAAAAAACGTATTCATAGTGCAGTGTTTTCTTAAATAAATATTGGCTGTTAAAAAATCTCCTTGAATCACAGGGAAAATTGGTAGACATAATTTTATAAAAATAATTGCTTTTCTTTGAAAATTGTACAGAAACAGTAGGAACCTTATGTTATAAAAATATTTTTTATAGTAACTTACAAGCAGATTTTACCGTTTCTAAGAATTGAAGTAATTTGTTAAATATCAAAGGACCTAAAAGTTTGCCTCCTTGCAACACTGATGTTAATGTCAATCCAAAAAAAAACAAAACGGTCAGTTTTGATTTGACAACGTACCTAACGTATTTACTATTATAATAAAACAAAATATTTATATATTCCGATTTTTATCAAAGTTTATGATATATATATTATGTCTTCGATGGTGGGGGACACTGACGCAGGCGCAAGCCCGGTTTCGAGATGCGTTAAGTAAGTACAACTCGAATCGAATCTATCGTTGTTTATTGAATGGTTTGTTTAGAGACTGTAATTTTTGCATTTTTAATATTTACTTCTATGTATGTTTCAGACGTAAGCGTACATCACGCGCTACGAGTGGGCAGCTTGAGGCACTGTTGGCCATGTTAGAAGCTCGGCCATATTTATATACCAAAAAATTTAGTGGCCTGCGGGGCAGAGAAAACTATCAAACGGGCTGGAGGGAAGTTGCCGATGAGCTAAACCAACTTCCCAACGGAGCCGTCAAGACGCCTGAGCAGTGGATAACAGTTAAGTTTCTATCAAAGAATTTTCCAGATTTACTACTAATGGCTTATACATAAATCAGCCAGCACATTATGTAACTAATATTTAATTAAAATACATAATTATTTATTTTGTAGGTATGGAGAGACTTGAAATGCCGGGCCTGCACTAAAGCCGCAAAATTAAAACGAGAAAGGTTGCAGACCGGCAACCAAGGCATCACCACTGCTCCACTGACAGAGATGGAAAAAAAGATCGTGTCTCTTATAGGTCTTGAGTACACATTTGGCAGTGACTGCCCCGACTCAATGCCAGAGGAAGAAGTGAGTTCAGTAGTGGCTTAATAATTACTTATATACAATTTCATATACTTAATCAAACTTCGTAATCTTAGTTTTTGGTTTTAATGCAATTTACAATAATAAATACTTTTACTAATTATCATAGACATTACAACATGAGATGGAGGCTGGGATGGATATGGTGGAAGTTATTTCTTTGTCTCAATGTAAGTTTCTAAGAGAAGTATATTCAAAATATAATGTTAATTCTGTTGCACTTTAAATGTACTTACCTGCAATGTATTAAAACACAAATTTTAATTACAGGTAATGAATACAAGTTGCTTGAGACAGAGAAAGATCAAGCATTGCCAGCACCACAAATTAGTACGTTTATGTTATTTTTATTACACCTTTATTCATACCTCTCTAGATGATTATATTTCACTAATATATTTTATATTTGATTATTTTAGTAGCAAGTGGCAGCAGAGCTACAGCTGTTGCTTCACCCACTAACCAACAGGACCAAGAGGTAACTTTGCAGTCAGCAGCACCACAAATAAGTAAGTTTGAGCTTTGTTATTCATATAATTCCTATTTACATACATTATCTATTTGTGTTCCGCTGTTTTATCCACTATTTCAAGACAAAATGGTCTATGTGCCAATTTTCATATAAATCTGCTGTTTTAGTGTGATTAATAAATAAACAAAAATCTTTGCAAATATTGAAAACGTACGTCAAAAACGTAATTGTACGCTGGTATTCTCACAGAATACCAGCGCAAAATAGCAGCTTAACACTGCTGTGTTTCGTATGATGAGTGTAGAGAACCAGAGACCCTTTTTACTGGAAACGAGGCATTCCATCTCAGTCCTCACGGGTGGCAACACATCTCCATTTTGATTCGTAATCGAGATTAGATGTAGATGTCTATGGGCCACAGCAATCATTTACCATCAGGTGGACTGTGTGCTCGTTTGTCACCCTTATCCTATAAAAAAAATCACATTTATACTATTGGTAAGATTGTGATCATTTCATGTGTATTTCATTATTTCAGCAGTGAGTGGCAGCAGAGCAGCAGCTGTTATTACCTCACCACCTACTGTTCAACGAGAGAGGCCCAGAAGGATAAGGAGTAAGCTTGATTTTTAATTAAGTGTTAATAATATAAACATTAGCTCACAAGATGATCAGCTTGAGCAGAATAAAGCTAAAAGTGATTTTAATTACAATAAAATAAATTTTGGGTATTTTTATATCTGAATCCTCGCCACTCTGTTGCTGAGCAAGCAAATATGGCACGTCAGGATTTTTTGGCAGTTGCAAAATCAAATGCAGAAGCAATTAGGGTATGTTATAATATTACATCTATATTCTAAGCTAAACAGAAGAAAAAACCAACAATATATATTTTTATGTGGTAGAGCCATTCTGCAGCTGTATTAGTAGTATAGTTGTAGCATGAATAGGTCAGCTTGACTGAGGAAGGACCACGCTCGCACGGAATACCAACGTAAAATAGCAGCTTAACACTGCTTTGTTTTGTATTGTGAGTGTAGAGAACCGGATACCCTTTTTACTGAATTAGTTGGTCAATATGTTGTTATAATCTATATACAAATAAATGTGTTTATCTGTATTATTGTTGTTTAATAACTGCCTTATATTAATATTACTATACTGAGCTTAAGCTCAGTGGGTTATTAGCACACCATTAAAACATGAATAACTACTTTTTACATATTTTTTAATTACAGATGCTGGCAGTTGCAACTGAAGTGCAAGCAGCGGCTGCCAAAATGCAAGCAGAGGCGGCAAAAGTGCAGGCAGAGGCGTCTCTTTCGTTAGCACAGGCTGCCAATAAAATAGCAGATGCCTTTATATTATATATAAATAAAAATAATAAATAAAATAAGATGTTTAATGTTTTATGTCACTTCACATAATAGAATAGAATAATTTTTATTCAATATAAATTTTTTAGTAATGTTTTTACTTTTACCACTGGTTCGAAAAAAAAACCTCTGTCCGGGAAGAACCAGCAAGAAACCCAGCGGGAATTTTTTTTTTATAAAATTAATTTACAGTATATTACTTTGTACAATTAATATGAAACATTTACTATACACATCATTACTATGATAACATTATAACTAATATAACATAATACTAGATAATTAAGTAAAATTAGTATTTATGAGTCTTCTTTGTATTTGCTCTGCAATAGCTCGCCCAGTGCCAGTTACTCTTCCTGTAATAAAAACACAATTTTAAGATTATTCAAACATAGCATAATACTATAGATAATTAAGTAAAAGTAGTATTTATTAATCTTCTTTGTATTCGCTCTGCAATAGCTCGCCCAGTGCCAGTTACTCTTCCTGTAATAAAAACACAATTTTAAGATTATTCAAACAAAGCATAATACTACAGATAATTAAGTAAAGGTATTATTTATTAATCTTCTTTGTATTCGCTCTGCAATAGCTCACCCAGTGCCAGTTACTCGTCCTGTAATAGAAACATGCAATTTTAAGATTAACAAAGGTAATATTAGATTAAGACAACAAAGTCTAATCTAATATTACCTAAACAACATTATTATCTGTATCTTCCAAGCCATCATCATTATAGCTATCAACAATGATTTCTGTGGATGTGGTGACATATGGTTCCAGCAATCTATATTTAATACGCATGTTGTGTAGTACTGCACATGTATTTACTATTAGGCCAGCAGTGTATGGCTCATACATTAACTGGCGTTGATGAGACAGACACCTAAAAACAGACTTTAGCACACCAAAGCATCTTTCTATGATGTTTCTGGCTGAACCATGAGCATCTGTGTATCTACGCTCCGGCGTCCCAAGGTGTTGATTTTTTATTGGGGTCATCAACCATGGCTCCAGAGGATATCCATCATCACCTAAAAGTTTAAACATCGAAATTACATTCGGCAGTCTTACAGACATTCCATTCTAGTAAAATTGGTCTTTAACTTACCAAGTAACCATGTACGGCGATCCCCATTGTCAAAATGTCGCTTCATGGTTGAGAGTACAGGTGAATTTGCCCATATGTGAGCATCGTGTCTGGCTCCTGGCCATTTAGCATTGATGTTCAAAATTAACAGGTCTGGGTCACACACCTAAAATAATTTAAAATATACTTTTAATTAGGGGTGTACCTATTTGTGCTAATAAATAAGTAAATAGATTTATTTATTATTGATGATGATGATGTTCCAGAGTGTAACTAGGTGCAATAAAATTACAATTTAAGCCCTTAAGACTAATTAGTATAATTTAAACTTTTTCACCTAAACTGCTGAGTAAAATGTATCTAATAAGACTATTTTTACTATCAATAATAAGGGGAAGATACTTTGTTCATGTTTTCAAAGCAAGTTATGCAGTCTATAAATAGCCTTAAAACCTGTTGATCCCAAATTGTTCTCACTTAGATTTTGATATTAGATTACTCATAAACATGATAATTGCTAGTAGCAATAATTTTACAATAACATGTTTGACTGTGAACTGTGCTGATTAAGCTTTTGATATTGGATTACTGAAAACATGTTATGAAGTATAACATTACAGAAGACACTGACTCCACTATAATTAATTGTTATTGCTGGTTAAACCAAGGTGTCATATTTTCAGTCAACAGACTTGTTTTAACCATCCTATAAAAGCCCTTGGATTTAGAATAAGATTTATTATAATTACAATTCTCATCATAGTAATGTTATCACTTAGTTAAGGAAATCAGTTTTGCACTGAAATGTATAGCTATTATGTTACAATAATACATTATTGTAGTGTAAATTTCATGGAGACATATTTAGTTGTTTTAAAAAGCTTCAGCACCGCTCCTGAAACTTAACTAGCAAATAAATAGGTAAACAATAACTACTGAAGATTAAACTTACAACTTGTACATTTAATGAATGTCCCTCATGGTGACCGCTCACATATGCCTCTTCATGCAACTTTGGAGCTAGAATTTTTATGTGTGTGCAGTCTATGGCTCCTATCGCATCCGGAAATGGCTGTGGGGCATTCCTACATTTTGCTTTAGCTGCTCGCCGCCCTTCAGGGGTCATAGGGAATTTTATATATTTTCTCAATAATTTTTTATTAATAGCTTCGGTTACAGCATGTACTACTCGGCTAACCGATTTTTGGCTCATGCTGCAACCCCACTGTAAGCCAACAGGTAGCTGATAGCACCCACTTGCATAAACTCGAAGTGCCGTCAGTAGCTATTTAGAAGAAAATGAAACTAAGAGTTAATACAAACGAAAAAGAGTTAGTTTTTAAAGGTATATAGGCATTTACATGATGACACTCACTTGGGACTCTACAGAAAGTCCGTACGGCCGTTGATTTTGAAGAGATGGCCTAAGTGCACCTACGAGCTCGCTAAACATATCTTTTGTAACTCTGTAAAGGTACAAGAATTCACTATCCTCTAAATCCAAAGGATCCAAAGGAGGAAACCGGCGCGATTCACTTTCGCGCCGGTTTCGTGCGATTTGCCGCCGCATAACCATAACACGCCTGTGTTCTAGCACTGATAAATCCCATGCTAGATATGATTCCGCCATTATTACTTAATATTTTTATAATTATATATTATGATAGAATATAAATTTTAAATCGATAAAACTCCAAAACAAATTTTTAAAGAGGCTTATGATCGTAACGTACACTTATCGGGCTTTCAAAAATGGTTGATAAAATATTTGCTAACATATCAATAGATTGTAAAGTTTTCAATAGTGTTGTTACGGTAACGTTATTAAATTGATAACTTTGACAGTAGAGACTACCAAATATTGTTATATTAGGATTGTTATGACTTAACAACTGATATTGATTGTTAGGCGATCGCTCTCTATGTCGAGACTGCAGGCACTGACTTGTTTATCTCTTTCGACGCTCAATTGTACAGAACTGAGTTAAGAAAAGTATCGAGGAACCAGCTGAGTGCTACCGGATTGCACCAATAGTGTTATTTAACAAAAACTTGTTACAACTTGATTACGTTCGGCCTAGCCTACGAAATATTTGTTAAGTATTTCTAGTTTATATACCATCTTACAGGGCAGAAGTATAAAATAATATTTCGATATTGAGTAGTAGGTAGGTTTTAAGTTTAGCAAATTTTAAAATATTAAGTATCTAAATGAAATTAAAAATCAACTATCGCCCCCCTAAACTACGCTAATGTCCTCAACTTTTTTCTGGGCCCCCTAACGCCCCCTCTAGGTAGCCAACGCCCACAAGTATGCGTTATCGCCCACTTTGAGAAATACTGACGTAAGTCAACAGAAGGATGACCCTGATCTTGACGGTGATGATAATAATAAATAATTTATTCATTGTTACAAAATTTATAAAATTTTCCAGCACAACTATTAAGCTAACGCTATTACATGATACTTAAATTATTTCAATTTGTCCATAAATTCACCTAAGAGATGGTCTAAATTATATACGTTTACCGCTAAAAAGAACCCCTTTGTCGTATCTCCTCAGTTTCAAGGCACTCCCTTTCTTGCCTCAGCCAGTATCGGTATCCTCGGAGTCGACATATCGAGTGACGTGCAGTTTCGTGGTCACTTGGAAGAGAAGGCCAAATTGGCCTCTAAAAAGCTTGGCGTGCTCAGCAGAGCGGGACAGTATTTCATGCCGGCACACCGCCTGCAACTTTACAAGGCGCAGGTTCGGCCTTACATGGAATACTGTTCCCATCTATGGGCAGGAGCTCCCCAGTGCTAGCTCCTTCCACTTGACCGCATCCAGCGCAGAGCGGCTCGAATCGTCGACGACCGTGCCTTTTCCGATCGGCTCGATTCATTGGCACTGCGAAGAGATGTTGCATCCCTTTGCATTTTCTTTCTCATCTACCATGGGGAGTGCTCTGAGGAATTTGTTCGGATTAATCCCAGCCGCCAAATTTCACGAACGCACATCGCGGCAGAACTCCCGATACCATCCACACCATCTGGATGATTGGCGGTCCACCACTGTGCGATTTAGAAGATGTTTTCTTCCTCGCACGACTTCTTTGTGGAATCGATTACCATCCGCGATTTTTCCGGACCGATACGACTTAGGGACCTTCAAGAAAAGAGCGTACTCCATTTTAAAAGGCCGGCAATGCATCTGCAATTCCCTCCCTGGTGTTTCAGTTGTTCATGGGCGGCGGTAGTCACTTACCATCAGGTGAGCCGCATGCTCGTTTGCCCCCTCTCCTATAAAAAAAAGAAATATACAACCAACTTATGCGACGCACAAATTACATGCTATAGATTATATGAATGAATGAAAACAACCCTTGATAAAAGATATCGTCCTTTCCTTCTCATAAATATATCTGTCGGATATTGCGGTGCCTAGCAAAACTGGTTGCGTGTGTAGAACAGCGGCTTAGACTTTGTGTAATATTAATTTATTTATCTATTTATTCTTTTTACATCTGAACCAAAGTGTTACAAAAGGCGGATTTTATGCCTTTAGACATTCTACATAACATATAACATAAACACTCACGCCTGTCACCCTGAAGGGTAGGCAGAGATTATGGACTTCCATTTGGCACGATCCTGACACACCTCTCTCGCTTCCTCCACATTCTCTCCCAGTCAATTCTGCATAATCATTTTACTTGGATGTAATTTTATACCACTACTCATTGTTATCATCATTACATAATCAAATTTCAATTACAGTTACAAATTAAATTATCCATTTTTAAATTTGAATTATGTCTTAGCTTTCAGCTCTCTTTCTGCCTCGAAGTTCGTCTGGGTACATACCCAACCTCTTACGTATTTCTACCGTCAAGCAGCATGGCGTGCACCGTTGTGTCCCTGGATTATAGTAGCTATTACCACTATGTGAATTGTAAGTGACTATATTACTTCAATTTTATTTACAAAAACCAGGCAATTGAGACCAGGATGTCAGTCAGTTGAAAAACATCTACGCCACATGATTTTAAGTTATTTTAGTCCAAGACTCCAAAAAATTATAAGAAAGATGCCCTTATCATAATTCTACCTACTACACCCTAGTTATATTATTAAATACAAAAATAAATTAAATAATATAATTTGTAAAATTTTAAAGTCATACCTCCCAAAAATTTTAAAGTTATAATAATGATGTGGAGTCCTCCATGTTGAAAAGTGAAGGGTTGCTAACTCTGAGGGCATATAGTTATCTATGCCCATCAACTTACGGACGGACCCTTTCCGAGGCTGAAACATACGATATAACGATATAACGATACCTGGGTACGTCACAAAACATCGCTATCGATGAAGCTGGTATAAAACAGTCAGTTTGCGATGTGTTTTATGCGCGCTTGATCAAAGTGCTTAACAGCTTTTTGTCCGGTGGGAATAAGATACAAGCATACATTATACACGCACATATATAACACTTGGGTCATGCATCTCAAAAGGACTCAAACTGAACTTAACGCCCTAGATAGAAAAGTCCGCACTACTATGACGTCCCATAGGATGCATCACCAGAGATCGTTGATAATGAGGCGATACTAGCCGCAGAAACATAGTGAGCGTGGCTTTTTAACGCGCTTACCATGTATAATCGCGAAGTGTGCAGCCTCCTTAATTACTTTCTGAAGAGATCGGATGATCCATTCTATAGAGATGTCATCTCTTGTGATACAGGGCTTACCCCTCTATCCTTGGGCAACGAGCAATGGCAAGACCCGGCAGTACAGAGCATTTCCAACCAGGAGACGGTATGGAAGCAGAAGAAGCTTCACGGGAGTTTCTACAATACTCTACATAAGTCATTCGTAGATATAGTTGCCTCCATACACTGACTACGTTTCGTTGACCTCTTTGGGGAAACCGAGGGTTTTGTCTCTGCGATACAGGATCAAGTTTTTAAGACCAACAGTTATCGGAAATACATCCTAATGGATAGCACCGTCGGCATCTGTCGAGCTTGTCACCATCCTGGTGAGTCACTTAGGCATATCATCTCCGGTTTTTCGGCGCTTTCTAACTCTGCGCAGACACAACCTAATAGCCAGGATTCTACACTAGGAGCTCACTCTGAAATACGCTCTCGTGGACTGGAAACTCCTAAGTTATAAGTACTTACCGGAAACCGTTCTCAAAAATGCCCGCATCAGGCTCTACTGGGACAGGACTATCATCACAGATAGGACTATTATTGCGAATAAGTCTTATATTGTGCTCATGGACCGGGCATAGTCAAGAATATTTATGGTCGACATTACCATTCATTATGACGAAAACCTCGTCAAAGCCGAAACAGATAGACAAAATATCTGGACCTGGCTCACAAGATGACCGACGTGTGGGGTGGTCTGCCGACCTAAATTATTCCTGTGGACGTTTCTGCGAACGGGCTAATCCCGGTCAGCCTCTCAGGTCATCTGAGGTGACTGGGACTCCGTGGCGGACCGCTAAGGGCTAAAATGTAGAAGGCGGGGTTCCTCGCTACCGCGTGCATCATCTGTTGGTTTCTTTGCCTTTCCCCCAAACCCTCGAGCGTTTGCTCTCTCCTGCCGATGGCTTCCATTTGGTTGGGATTTTATTTATTTATGTATTTTTATGTAGTAGTTAGTAAATAAGTAATACATTTAAATACAATAATGGGACATTTAGGTTAGTTGCAGTTTGCCACCTTACGCAGGGCACATTTGCATTAGAATGTTAGTGGTAAAATATTACATTTTATTTAGATACTGCTTACTCTTAATATTTACTGTATAATATATTAAAAAGTTAATTTCAGATAATTTATTAAATTGAGTATTACTTTTCTACCAATAGAAAACGAAATAATAGTATAGAATTTATTTATTTTTATACATTTATATATATATAACTACGGGACATATTTCAATTAAATTTTGTTTGTAGACAGTAAACGACCGTGTATAACATATAGACAACTTTTTACCCGCTTACGGGAGAGCAATAAAGGGGTTATATTTTTCCTTTTCTGTTTAAGTTTATTGTCCTTATAGCTGATAATGGTTGCATTAGTCCTTAAGAGGATTTACTTACACGTATAATAAATCTATAGAAAAGTGTGTGTGTGAAAATTTATTTATTTACTCTCACAATTTAAGTTTACAAGGTAGGTTGTAAACAAAGTAGACTATGGGCTGAGA